TCTACGGAATAGAAATGCACTTTCTCAAAAGTAGTATGGCTCCTCGAATTCCCCTCTTCCTTATGGCTTCTAAAAGGTATTCAGAAGGCAAATTTGAGGCACTGATAATGTTCACCCCCACCTTTTTTTTTTAAAGATTTTATTTATTTATTTGAGAGCAAGAAAGAATGAGAGATAGAGAGCACGACGTGCTCTCTAGGGAAGAGGGTCAGAGGGAGAAGCAGACTCCCTGCCGAGCAGGGAGCCCGATGCGGGACTCGATCCCGGGACTCCAGGATCATGACCTGAGCCGAAGGCAGTCGCTTAACCAACTGAGCCACCCAGGCGCCCCAGCCCCACTTTTTTTTTTTTTTTTAAGATTTTACTTATTTATTTGACAGAGAGAGCGAGAGCACAAGCGGTGGCGGTGGGAGGGGGGCGGCAGGCAGAGGGAGAGGGAGAAGCAGGCTCCCTGCAGAGCAGGGAGCCCAATGCAGGATTCGATCCCAGGACCTGGGATCATGACCCGACCCAGGCGCCCTCACCCCCACTTTCGACACTGGTGATGCTAAGAAGCAGACCAGAATGGGAAGTAAGCAAGTATATCAGCACAGATGCCCTCCCTCGAGGCTCTAGCTTCAGTAGCCGCCTTTCTGCCACATTAATTCGAGTATACAAAATCTATCCCACGCCATTCTCCAGTCTTTTATACACCACGGGCCAGTTTCCTTAGTTTGAAGTTTAAGTATGTGCTGTTTTCCAGATCTCTCTCTCTTCCTCTGTCTTTTGAAAAAGCTCGTTAGGTATAAAATGGCTGAATTCAAGCAACCATGAAACATGTGTGAGATGCGTTACCCAAAAGTTCTAATAGATGGAACATGACCTAGAGAACACATCCCTAATGGGTTTACTTGGGACTGAAGGTCACCCGGCCAGTCAAAAGGCTCATCTTCTTTTTTTTTTTTTTTAAAGATTTTATTTATTTATTTGATAGAGACAGCGAGAGAGGGAACACAAGCAGGGGGAGTGGGAGAGGGAGAAGCAGGCCTCCCGCTGAGCAGGGAGCCCGATGCGGGGCTCGATCCCAGGACCCTGGGATCATGACCTGAGCCGAAGGCAGACGCTTAACGACTGAGCCACCCAGGCGCCCCAAAAGGCTCATCTTCTTGACGTGACCATTCAGGACCATTGCTCCCTGTGGCAGAGGTTGTCTTCCCCAAATGACCATCTGTTCCCTCATATTCTCTTCTACAACATAATGTTGACACTCACCCCATGGGGCAAGAGTGAGGCTGTGGATTTCCAAAGATGGGACATATAGGGCATGATGGCTTCTGCCTGGTTTTGGGGGGATGCTTGCCTTGGAAGCCAGCTCCCACGCTTTGAGGAAGCCCAGGCTACAGGGAGGGGGTCCCAGGTAAGTGTGCCGCTTGACCACAGCAGCTGGGATTCCTGCTCACGATCAGCATCAACCGCCAGACGTGTGGGAGCCCTGGCCTTCGGGTGATATAGCACCTCCGGCTTTAAGGTCCCTTCTCAAGACAGTGGGGAGAGATGAGCATTCCCCACTGAGACATAATTTGCACATCACACATACAAAGTGTCTAATTCAATGGTTTTTAGTGTATTTGGAGTTGTACAACCATCACAGTTCTAGAGCTTTCCATCACCCCCCACGAGAACCCTGATCTCATTAGCAGCCACTCTCCATTTCCTCCAACACCCCTTCTAGCCCTCAGCAACTGCTAATAGACTTTCTGTCTCTAGTCGATTTACCTGTTCCAGACATTTCATATAAACCAAATCATCCACTAGGAGGGCTTCTGTGACTGGCTTCTTCCACTTAGTGTGTTTTCAAAGTTCGTCCACATGGTAGATGTTTCTTTACTTTGTTCCTTTTTATTGCTTTTCCACCGTATGAATAGGCTACCTTTTATTTGTCCATTCATGAGCTGATGGACATTGGGCTGTTGCCACTTTCTGGGTATCGCTGTGATGTTTTCACTTCTCTTGGGTGTATACCTAAGGGATGGAATTGCTGGGTCATATGGTAACTCTAGGTCTTACGTTCTGAGGAACTGCCAGACTGTTTTCCAGAGTGCCTGCACCATTTTACATTCCCACCAGCAGTGTAGGAGATTCCAAATTCTCCACATCCTTGTCAACACTCGCTATTGTCTTTTACTTTAGCCATCCTGCTGGGTGTAAAGTGGCTTCACTGTGGTTTTGATTTACTTTCTCTAATGGGTAACGATGTTGAACAGCTTTTCACGTTTATTGGCCCTGTGTATATCTACTTCAGAGAAAGGTCTATTCCGGTACTTTGCCTGTTTCTTAGATTGGGTTTTCTATCTTTTATCATTGAGTTGTAAGAGTAGTAGATACAAGTTCCTTATGAGATATGTGATTTGCAAATATTTCTTCCCATTCTGTAGGTTGTTTTTTCACTTTTTTTTTTAAGATTTTATTTATTTTTTTTTTTTTTTAAGATTTTATTTATTTATTTGAGAGAGAGAGAATGAGAGATAGAGAGCAAGAGAGGGAAGTGGGTCAGAGGGAGAAGCGGGCTCCCTGATGCGGGACTCGATCCCGGGACTCCAGGATCATGACCTGAGCCGAAGGCAGTCGCTTAACCAACTGAGCCACCCAGGCGCCCAAGATTTTATTTATTTCTGAGAGAGAGAGAGCACAAGCAGGGGGAGTGGCAGGCAGAGGAAGCAGGTTCCCCAATGAGCAAGGAGCCCAATGTGGGACTCAATCCCAGGACCCTAGGATCAGGACCTGGGCCGAAGGCTGATGCTTAACTGACTGAGCCACCCAGGAGTCCCAGCCTTTTCACTTTCTTTCTTTAAGATTTTATTTATTTATTTGAGAGAGAGAGAGAGAGAGAGAGAACAAGTAGGCAGAGTGGCAGGCAGAAGCAGACTCTCCACTGAGCAGGGAGCCCGATGCCAGACTCGATCCCAGGACCCTGGGATAATGACCCGAGCTGAAGGCAGACACTCAACCGAGCCACCCAGGCGCCCACCTTTTCACTTTCTTGATGGTATCCTTTAAAACACACACATTTAAAATTTTGATAATGTCTAATTCTTTTTCTCTTCTGTTGCTGGTGCTTTTGGTGTCATCTAAGAGACCATTGCCTAACCCAAGAACGTGAAGATTTACTCCTGTATTTTAAGAGGTTTATAATTGTAGCTTTTACATTTAGGTCTACAATCCTAGAGTTCATTTTGTGTGAGTGTGGATGGTGTGAGGGAGGGGATCAACTTCATTCTTTTGCATGTGGATATCCAGCTGTCCGAGCTTCAGTTGAAAACTATTGTTTTCCTATTGAATTGTCTTTACACACTTCTCTGAAATCAATTGAAAGTACATATAAAGGTTTATTTCTGGACTCTCGGTTCTATTTCATTGATCTGTATGTCTGCCCTTACCCCACTACCACACTCTATTACTATAGCTTCTGGTAAATTTCAAAATCAAGAATCAGAGATCGTAGTCTTCTTATTCAAGATTATAGCTATTCTGGGGCGCCCGGGTGGCTCAGTTGGTTAAGCGACTGCCTTCGGCTCAGGTCATGATCCTGGAGTCCCGGGATCGAGTCCCGCATCGGGCTCCCCGCTCAGTGGGGAGTCTGCTTCTCCCTCTGACCCTCTTCCCTCTCGTGCTCTCTATCTCTCATTCTCTCTCTCTCAAATAAATAAAATTAAAAAAAAAAAAGATTATAGCTATTCTGTGTCCCTTGAACTTCTATATGAATTTTAGGATTTGTTTATGAATTTGTTAAAAAAAAGATAAAACAAAAAACCGGTTAGACTTTTGATAGGGATTGCTTTGAATCTTTATAATTTGGGGGACTTTGTCATTTTAAGCAACTCAATTTTAGGATAGCTAATTGTACGATGGTAACTGATACACCATCCCGTTCAGGGGAAGAATGCATTTTATTGTGGATGAAGACAAGAGAGGGTGACTGTTTCTGTAGGGAATACAATTTTGTCTGCAAGGTGTCTCCCTCTAGATGGTAAACGGGACATTTCTTAGAACAAAGAGTGTTTCTTTTTTTTTAAAGATTTTATTTTTTTAATTTATTTATTCATGAGAGACAGAGGAGGAGAGAGAGAGAGAAGCAGAGGGAGAAGCAGGCTCCCAAGGAGCAGGGAGCCCGATGCAGGACTCGATCCCAGGACCCTGGGATCATGACCTGAGCCGAAGGCAGACGCCCAACCATCTGAGCCACCCAGGCGCCCACAAAGAGTGTTTCTGATTGGTGGTTTGGTCTGGCATTTCCACGCTGAGCCCCCTTCCTCACTTCAAGATAAGCAAGCTCCAAGTGCTGACTTCTGCTGCTTGACCCATACCCCAGCTCCCTGGCCAGGGCTAGACTGATTTTTCTGCACTGGGAATGGTCAAGAAGCAACCCTCAGACCTGGGATTTTTCTTCCCCAGCGTTGGGTGCCCCCTGCTTGGAGTGGGGGTTTGTCAAGGGAAATGAGGACCATGGCTGCCCAGGCCACCCTTCCAGCTCCAACAGCAGGAGACCCAGGGCAAGGCTGAGAGTCCTACAGATGACAAGGAGACAGGAGGCTTTCACCAGGACAAGAGTAAAGCCACTGCTGACATTGAGTCTGTTAAAAATGTCATGCAGCATCTCAGGAGGTGCCCAGGAACATTGTTCTTCTTCTCAGCGGGGATGCTATTGGGAGCTTTTGGCCCCAAGGATTCTATTTCTAGATGCCTCTATTTCCTGAGGTGATTCTGAATAAGAGAAAGTATACTTCAGGGTGTGTGGCCTGCTTTTCTTCTCCTGTGCACAGCTGAGTGAGGGCCACCTCAGCCCTGCTGTTGAGAGCTCAGGCTGGATTCAGGACAGAAGGCAGGAGAGAGCCTCCTGAGGGCAGTGTGTGCTCTACCTCTACCCTCTGGAGACTCCAGCTCGTGCTTCTGCCCTGTTGGCAGTAAGCTCCCGGGCAGGATAAAAACAGGCCGCAGACAGTAAAGGAGACAGGTTCGTGGGGTTTACTGAGGGCCCAGGCGACAGCCCGGTCAAGTGCCGGCTTTATTCCGACAGGAACGTCCCAAGTGGACCACAGCCCCAGGCTTTACACGCCACAAAGGCATCTGGGAGCCAGGAGGGAATCTAGAAAAATATTGCATTGAGCCAGACAATCAAAAAAGACCATGTTAAATCAACTTAAGGCAGCCTGGTCAGGATGAGAGAACAGAAGAGGTGGCGGAAAAGAGAGAAACCTTTGGCAGCTGGAGTCAGGACTGGCCCTAGCGGAAGTAGTTGGGACATTCGTGGGCGACCAGGTGCCAGGCCTGATCGAAGGCCTGCACCACGGCCGGCTCCAGGGGCCCTTCCTCGGTTGCCGCCAAGTTCTGTGTCAGCTGCTCCACGCTGGACATGCCCAGGATGACCGCGTCCCTGTGGGCACCCTGCAAGGGGTGACAGCCAGATGTGAACACATTATGCACCGTGGTGGCTCCAGGCGCACACCCTCCCTCCCCGCCCTGCCTCTGCCGAGACCCGGGCTCTGATGTTTATTTATGCCGAATATAGTTCCCTAAGGAACTTGAGATGCCTTCAGTGATTTTAACGACGTGACTCCAAACCCTGTCTTCTTTCCCTCTGCTCGTCCTCAGACACAGCTGTGCTCAGAGCCCAGCTCGGCCACTCAGCTGGGTGCGCTTGGCTTAGTTCCTCCTCCCCTTGGTGACTCAATCTTCTCTGTCTTCAGCGTGGTGACGGGAATGAGAAACTATGTCAGGCAGTGCGCCCCCGGTTTTTGAGAAACTACTCTATGTCCGTCAAACCCTGGGCAACTGTGTCAGGCTGATGCAGGAGACACGTTTTAGCGAGGGAGACCGGGGACGCCGAAGAGCGAGGGGGGCCCCCAACTCCCACCGAGGAGCGAGTGAGGCTGAGGAGTTTTGAGAAATTTTCTACCCCGCCCACAGCTGTGTGGACCCAGCTCCTCACCCGTAACACTGGGGGAATGGCACTTCATGGGGCCGGAAGACAGACTAAATGCACGTATGCGAAGCCCTCATCCGGGGCCTGGTGCTCAGACAGCTACTAAGAACAATGGAACGACTGCTTGACTGCTCCGCAGCTCTCACCAGGAGAAACTTCAGAGGGGAAAACTGCTTAGGTGTTAGTGCCTGGCTGGCTGAGTCGTGGGGCACACGACTCCTGGTTTCGGGGTTGTGAATTAGAGCCCTACACTGGGTGTGGACATTACTTAAAAATAAAATCTTTTTCTTTTTTTTTTTTTAAACATAGGCTCCATGCCCAACCTGGGGCTTGACCTCACAACCCTGAGATCAAGAGTCACAAGCTGGGACCCCTGGGTGGCTTAGTTGGTAAAGCCTCTGCCTTCGGCTCAGGTCATGGTCCCAGGGTCCCGGGATAGAGCCCCGCATCGGGCTCCTTGCTCAGCATCTTCCTGTTCCCCTCCTCCTGTTAGTGATCTCTCTCTCACTCTGACAAATAAATAAATAAATAAAATCTTTCTATATGCTCCACTAACTGAACCAGCCAGGCACCCCCAAGTAAAATCTTTGGAGGCAAAAAACCCCCAGGAAAACATGACTTAGAAATGACCTAAAGATAATTCTGGCTCTGTTACAAGGGCAGCAGTGGCCGCCCCCCCCCCCCCCGGGACAGCCGGCTCACCTGCAGCTGGGAGTGGTGGTACATCCAGCGGAGGGCGGCCGAGGTCATGCTGGGGACGCTGCCGCCATACACAGCCTGCAGGGCCTTCTCCACCAGGGCAATGGCCTCGAAGTAGTGCTCCTTCCAGAAGCTGGGCAGGTGAACGGGGTGGCACAAGGGTCAATAACTGGGGGGGGGTCACATCAGGGCTACATCCACAAAGCCAAGCAAGGCAGCTGTGTCCACCCAACTCGGCAGGGAGGAGCGCTGAGCGTTCTTCCAGCAGTGGGCCAGCTTGATTGGGCAGCAGAACCACCGGGCACAGGAGGCAGCCAGAGGGGCCTCAACGAACACCTCAAAGACATCTTTAACCTCTTCATGAGTTCTTTTTTTTTTTTTTTTATTTGTTTGAGAGAGAGAGAGGGAATGAGAGATAGAAAGCACGAGAGGGAAGAGGGTCAGAGGGAGAAGCAGACTCCCTGCTAAGCAGCAAGCCCGATGTGGGACTCGATCCCGGGACTCCAGGATCATGACCTGAGCCGAAGGCAGTCGCTTAACCGAGCCACCCAGGCGCCCCTCTTCATGAGTTCTTAAGACCTCATAACGCCTGCCCACTTTACCCAGTGAAGCAAAGGTAACAAGATGGGGGCGGGGGGCAGGACTCGGCCCCAGGCCTCCTGAGCGTGGATCCAGGGCTTGCTCTTTTTTTTTTTTTTTTTAAGATTTTATTTATTTATTTGAGAAAGAGAGAGAACGAGAGATAGAAAGCACAAGAGGGAAGAGGGTCAGAGGGAGAAGCAGACTCCCTGCTGAGCAGGAAGTCCGATGTGGGACTCAATCCCAGGACTCCAGGATCATGACCTGAGCCGAAGGCAGTCGCCTAACCAACTGAGCCACCCAGCGCCCAGGGCTTGCTCTTTCTTTCCTGGCAAGTGGTAAGCCCTTCTCAGGGAAGTGCCAGGCCTTGGAAGACCCAGTATAAAACCCAGGGGTCACCATTTGCTCACAGAGCTCCCAAGAAAGCAAGAAATGCAGCAGAATTTGGTCATTTCTGCAGGAATCAAGACATGGGTCCAGGCAGCAGGGAAGACCTGGAACCCCCAGGAAAGCTGCCTAGAATTTCTCCACGTCCGATAAAGGGGACCCTGCCCACCCCCCACCCTGACGCAGCCCATCCCCCGCTCACCGATTCCTGT